TAAACGAAAGTTGCTGCAAATTTCTCAGCAAGGTTTGAAGCGGAAGTTTTGCATGGCCTCCCCGTTCACAACTTGGTTTGGCGAGTGTTTTGTTGCCTAGCAACAGCGCCACAAGAAACTTGCTGAGGGCCTCTGCAGTCCATAAATATTTTGGGGGAGGTGGTTCACAAAAGGATTGTCTGAAGAGGGTTGCAGTGAAGGCGTCCCCGTCCCTTTGTCGTCTTGAAGGGAGAGGGAAAGGGAGCAGCAACAGCGAACACAACCGACTGAAGAGAGGCAGACTGGCTCTTGTCCAGCTAGAAGACTCCCTGCTCGGTAACACCTTGAGCGAGAAAAACCATGGTCGTGGAAACAATACAGATACAGGAACAGGGGATACCTTTATCCGATCATTAAGACTATAAAGAAAAAAAAAAGCGAGCTTCCGGTGATAAGTCATCTTCGAGGCTGTGTGCCAAGTTCTTGTTGGGAATTCCAAAATTAAATGATGTTATTAAAGTCCAAAAGTCACATCGCTGACGAGGCGTGGACTGGGTCTGAAAGAGGGGAACAGGGCTGGATGCGATGGCCTTAGCAACGGGGCCTGAGTGGGGAATCTTGCAGACTCCAAAAGTACGTAGACGAGGCTTGAGCAAGAATATTCTCCCTCCCGCCGGTGCTGCAGCCCAAAGACCCTGCGGACGCCTTGAAAGGAAACGACGAAGTCTTGTGGCCGTTTACGGTCTAGCCTTTTATTTCACAAAGGCTTTCGTTCACAAGACCCTGCAATAGCCACCCCAGCACTACGGGGTATGCTTGCCTACATATTAAAAAGAGCGCCTTCACCTTTAAATCCCCTACTGCTGCAAGGAGGACGGCCTTCACCTCCCATCCCATAATGCCTTTATTCGCTTCCCTATTACCTCTGCAAGATGGCTGCTCTCAATGGCTGGTGGGGGAGGTTTTGCAGAATTGGTAAGAGCAACTCTCAGAGCAGTTTTCTTTTCATGCAATTGTTGCTTTCTCCTAAATTTGCTTTCTGCGCGTAGTTCATTTGCATATTTCAGTGATCAGGCGTCCCAACAGTTTTATTGAAGCGTCTCGTATTTTTCCCCTTTGTTGCGTGTGTTATACTGTAATTTCTTTTTTATTTACCGTATTATGGAATGACTGACTTAGTCACCACATCAGGAAAGCAAAGCGAGTGAGGCGTCGCGGGGGCTTAAGGGATAGTCGTCGTTTCTTTATCTCAGATTTCTGCACAGAAAAAAAAACCAGTATAAAAAGAATAAAAGCATTTGATGAATTGGGGGTTTCTTGAACCGAGGTGGCGGCCAACGAAGAAGTAATTGGCTGAAAACCTTGGAAACTGTTTTAGAAGCAAATGGATAATGATCAGGAAATTGTGAAACCCATAAAATGGAGACAGCTGAAAAACGGTGGTCATATAATAAAAAATGAAAAATACAGGTCGCTACATCTGATAATTCAGAATAAAGTAAATAGAAAAGTAGGGGAAGGAGAAGAATTGGCTGAAAAACTTTGGATACTGACTTAGATGCGAGGTATCCTTGTTTAGAGCTCCTGTGTTCAAAGTCAGAATAGTCACGATGGCATTCAGTGTCTGGCTGGAGAGCGATGAGAGGAAGTTCATGAGTTGCTGGAAGACAGACACAAAATTTCTCAGTAGTTTTCTTTACCTACCCTTCTTACCTTTGCTTAAGCATGTGCAGAGATTCCTTGTGCCAAGCGAAACTTCAGTATCTAGTACTGAAGTGTCAAGGACGGTAGAGGGTACAGAGAATGTGTTTTTTCAGAATAAAATATTTTAACTTGATTACCAAAGGGATAATTTTTGCTGCTAAAAAAATAAAAACAAGGACTCCAGTGGCACCCTAAATGCTTAAAAAAAACAACTCCTCTATAGCCTCATTATATATAGCTCCCTTCATCAGATGAATTACTTTAATTTAATCTGTCAAAATACACATTCTGTGCTCTGTAATTTTTATGAAACTATCATTGTTTTATAAACAAAATTGATCTGCAACAATGTTTCTACCTATATTTTAAATGCCATAATAACCAAGCTGTAAAAATTAGGGATGAGAGGGGGACATGAGCATTTCTGGCTTGTGATGCAGTAAGTGGTCTTCTCTCAAAATTAAAAGCAAAGGCTCCTCTTCGGAATGTTCTGCAGCCAGGAATACAGGCAGTACTTGACATTATTCACATGATTATTCCAGACTCTGGAATGCCATCCCATGGGAAGCCAGGCTGCCCCATCTTTGCTGTCCTTCCACAAGCAGACAAAGACCTTTCTCTTCAGACAGGCTTTTCTTTTGTGACTGGCAGTCTAAGAGAGGTTTTTCAAATTGGATTGTTGTGCTCTGTTGCTTTTAAATGGGTTTTTAGTATATTAATTTTACTTACCATTTTAATATTTAACATTTATATATTTATTGTTTTAAGCTTTTAAATATTGTCCTTTTAATGTTATAAGTTGCCTCAGGTCCTTTTAAGGAGAAAGGCAGGGTAAAAATATTTTAAATAAATAAATCTGTGGAGACATGAGACTTCTCGGTTCAGGTATTATGACTGATAGCCTACAGGACATTAGGATTCAATACTTCCTTTAACTCAATCTTTATAGTTAGAAACATTTGCCATACATAATGTCAGCACTTATGAAATACCCTACATATGCGTATGGGCTGATTCTTCTATTTTTCTGTTATTGTAGGTTGGTGGCCTGTCTGTCAACCCATCCGCCATCGCTCCAAATCTATCACCCGCCACTTCAAACATATGAACCTTGTGCGGGAGAAGCTGATGGCAATTACACAGTACATCCCACCGAAACCTGCAATCCCAGAGGAGTGCCGCACTCACAGTGTCACAACTGAGCAGGAGGTAACGACTTGCATCTGTGTCTGTGTGTGCGCACACTTTCTTTCCTCCCATGCTGTGCTATTTATATGTGAATCATACACTTGTGGATAAAATCTTTGAGTGGGCTTGCTACACTTCTTTCTCTGTGATGTTGCCAGCTGCAGTGTAGTTTATTTTTGTACTAATGAACCATTATATCCTGATAAATATGATTTATTCAGAATAGATGCTGCTTTTGAGCTATAAGGTTCTAAAGAATTTTGTTCAGGGTCTGTTTCTTCATTTATGTTCCCAGGGCTAGCTTTTCTGGGATTCTGACTAGCATAATGACCTTAGATGGAAATCTCTTTTATTTTATATCAAGCTTAACCCCATCAGGATAGGACTTTAACCTTCTTCTGAGAGTCCATCTACATAAGACAATGATTTGTACAGCACAGAACAAGTCAAGATTTCCCACTTAAAACTGTGGCAGAACTTATAGTTCTCACATATTGCCTTATTCAGACTTTGCTCAGTGAGAACTTTCCCCAGTGGAACTCAGTTGTATTAAACAGTTTTTTATTTCTAAAGGGATGTGGTGGCACTGAGGATTAAACTGCAGAAGCCTCTATGCTGCAAGGTCAGAAAACCAGCAGTTGTAAGATCGAATCCACGTGACGGAGTGAGCTCCCGTCGCTTGTCCCAGCTCCCACCAACCTAGCAGTTCGAAAGCATGCAAATGCAAGTAGATAAATAGGTGCCATCTCGGTCGGAAGGTAACAACATTCCATGTCTACGTCACGCTGGCCACGTGACCACGGACAAATTGTCAAGGGGAAGCTTTACCTTATTTCTAAAGATTTGCCAGATGTGCACAGAAAGTGATATATTACCTTGGTGGAAAGCAGTTTTGTTTTATTTTATTTTATTTATTTATATCCCACTCATCTAGACCGAAGTCTACTCTGGGTGGCTAGCAACATACAAGAATAATAAAATAAAATAAACAACAATATTTAAATCAAAAGGATAACAGTAAGTATTGACAGGAGGGAAGGCCTGCCTAAAAAGCCAGGTCTTGAATTGGCTCTTAAAAACACCCAGCAAGGGAACCAGACAAATTTCAGGGGGCCGATTGTTCCAGAGGTGAGGGGCCACTGCTGAGAAGGCCCACTTTCTTGTTCTTTCTCTTTGGGCCTCCCTCAGCATTAGGCCCCTCAGCCGCCCATGTTGACTAAAGCGAGTGATTTGGGTAGATCTAGGTGGGAGGGGGCGTTCTGCAAGATATTGAGATCCTAAACCATTTAAGGCTTTATATGTCATCACTAGTACTTTGAAATCAATGCAGAAACAAATGGGCAGCCAATGCAGGGCAGCCAGAGAAGGATAGATATGTTGGTGTTTTCTCACCCCAGTAAGAAGTCTGGCTGCCATGTTCTGCACCATTTGAAACTTCTGCATCAATCTCAAAGGTAGCTCCATGTAGAGCACATTACAGTAGTCTAATCTCGAGACTACAAGCGCATGGACCAGAGTGGTGAAGGCCCCCACATCAAGATAGGGACGCAGTTTTGATGGATTTAAATGAATGAGTTAAATCTCAGTGATGTGACTCATTAAGAGATAGGGCTTGCTTAAATCAGGGGATTGCATTAAGTATGTATGACGCCTATTTACCAAACAAACATGCTACAGTATCTCAGTTGGCTATAACAAGTAAAACACACTAGTTTGTAATGGAATAAGATCTTTATGTTATTTAGGATTATAATTCTAAAATATATACAATACACATCCCTTCTACACTGCAGAATCTACTTAAAATTAAGTGATTCTGTACTTAATCCTAATGGCTATAAATTTCTCCCTTTCTCCCAGGAAAATGGCTTTACAAGGTTGATGTATCGGCTAACGAAGGAAACATTCCTCGAGAATAAAATGATTGTTGTATGCCACTACAACTACATTCCTGGAAATGATATGATACTCTTGAGGCATCGGCTACGAAAGTACAACATCCATGTCAAATTCTTTCCCACTGAGGTACTATAATGTAGATAATTCTTTTAGGGATGCAATGTGAAGTAGAATTGCTTTTCTTAGACAGTTGCCTACACCCTTTCTAAACAAAACTCATGCAAACCAAGTTTCTTACTGGACTCGATGCCCATGAGACTATGTGGGCTATTTCAAGTATGTCTTCAGAAACTTTGAATCATGAAGACAGAAGAGCACAAGCTGCTGTTGCTATGACATTTTGTGGGAAATTTTGCTTGGCACCCAATTTTGCTTAAGGTGAAATGTAAAAATACATTTTTGAGCTGCCTACTTATAAGAACCCCTGAAGGAGTGTCAGGTGAAGTGAAAAGAAAGATAAAATATCTCAGCATCTCTTTCTTATTTCCAGCCAGTATGTAATCAATGATTCATCAAATAGTTATTCAAGTTTGGCGACTGGCTGGCTTATTCAGATTGCAAAACTCACTGGGATAGCTACCTCTCCAATTTTTTTGCCCCATTTTCCTGGATGTGGCCTTTTGTTCAACGTAATATTTTTTATCACTAGAGTTGGTAGACCTTGATTAAGTGAATGAGTGCAACACAGTGGGAGGATATGTGGTTTCTGTTCCATTTGCTTTTTTCTTCAGCTGCTATGGATTAAAACAAAAATTCTGCGTTTTCACATACAGTGGTGCCTCGCTTAACGGGCGCCCCGTTTAACGACGAAATCGCATAGCGATGAAGATTTTGCGATTGCAAAAGCGATCGCATTGCGATGTTTTAAATGGGCAAAATCGCTTTGCGATGATCGGTACCCTGTTTTGCTTACCGATCATCGCAAAGCGATGATTTTTTAACAGCTGATTGGTGGTTCCAAAATGGCCGCCGGGTAAAAAAAATGGCCGCCCGCTGTTTTTTGGGACTGATTCCTCGCTTACTGGGCAGTGAAAATGGCCGCCCTATGGAGGATTTTCATTTAAAGGTGAGTCTGAAGCCCATAGGAACGCATTGAAGGGGTTTCAGTGCATTCCTATGGGCTTTTTAAAATCGCATAGTGACAAAAGCGCTTTGCAGCGATTTTTGCTGCACCAATTATCGTCGCTATGCGAGGCACCACTGTGCTGTTTTTTCTTAGGGTTCTGTTCCATCAGGACCATCTGCTGATGGAAAGGTAATTTTGAATAACTCCAGCCCCACACCACCACCTTTGGCCTGCTTCATGGGGTTAGCAGAGTATTTCAGACAGCATGGGAAGTGATGGGGAGGGCAAATCAACAACAACACATTATCTCAATTCCCATCATGTCCACTGCATTAGAGACAGTTCTGTCCACAGGGGACACCATTTGATAATCACCCTTGGTGTTTGACTGATATTTTCCACCACTTTTCCAGGTCATGAAAACTTTTATTTCAGAATCCAAGTTCAAAAATCTCCTCCCTCTCTTTGCTGGGCGCAGCATTCTAATGGTGAGCCAGGAATTGAGAGCAAATGAAGTGCTGCGTGTTTTAAAGTATGTGCCACAGATTGTTATCCTTGGTAAGTGTTAAAAGAGTTTTTAGCACTTGGTACTGCTGAATGATGTGCTGACCATTTTAATGAAAGACAGCTGGGACATACTTTTCCCTAGATAAGTTAAAATTCTTCTCCAAATAACAAGATTGGAATTGGCAGAATATGGTGAGGATTAACAGGGATGGCATGCAGGAGATGGGATGGCATGGAAGAGAGGGTACACAGGTCACAGTGATAACAGAGAGGCAAGGGTTTAAGAGAAATAGTCTAGTGCATGCTCTGGAAGTTCAAGTTGCACTTGTTACTGAAACTAAGGGACCTTGTGTGCTGAAAAACATGGCTTGTGATCTGTTGATGGGTCTCTGGGTAATCTGACTCACCATTCTTGGAAAACAACAAAAATATTTCTTTTTCTCTAAAGTAGGCTGCTGCAGTTAAAAAAATGTTTCTCAGGGTAGAGTTGGTTGGAGAATAGGAACAGAATTGTGTATGATCCTCACCTCTGGTTCTGAAAATAGATCACCATAAGGCGGAAGTGACTTAATGATACATAAGAACAACAAAGGCTATCTGTTGAATTTAGTTATTGTGACTTTATATTGCCTTCAGAATCAGAGGTAGTGTATGTCTGAATATCAGGATCTGGAGAATAGAAGCAGGTTGTGCTCTCATAATCATGTCCAGCTTCACTGGCTTGTCATAAATTCTCTGACTGTTGCAGACAGGATGCTGTACTAGCGAGGCCTTTTCTTATGTTCTACTTGTAGGACCTCAAACGTTTTCTTTTTTGTGAAAAACATATCCTGGAAGCCAAAAGCTTACCATTTCTGATATATGCCTGGATGAGAGGCCATATAAGTATAATATGGAAAATTTCCTCCAAAGACAAAGTGGGTGGGAATGTGAGACATGGGGGGGGGGAGTTCATCGTTCAAGAATGTATTTAAAACCTTTGTACATATTGTGCCAGTGAGTCCTTGCACAAATTTCTTAGCATGTAGGAATGTTCTGGACATGAGATTGCCCTAGAAACATCATTCATCTGCCATTATTGTGTGTGTGCTTGTGTGTGTGTACAATAGTATGTTTGTGATGGAACTAAAATTACTGTGATTTTCCAGCTTTCTTGCAAATTAATTTTTTACAATTATTCAGAGTGATGTACCCATATAACTTTTGGTCTCATCCTTCTAGGGGCCTGTGTTGATGATGTCATCTTAAGCAAACAAGGTTTTGCAAACTTCGCCAAACTGCCATCCTTGGCTACTACCCAAGGAGAAGTAGTGGGAGCCCTCTCTCTCATGACATCTCAAACTAGCATCCTTCTACAGCGTGGCCCTGTTCACTTGATTGCTTTGTTAGAACAGTATGTTAAACAACAGAATTGCGAAGCAGATGAAGCTAAAGAGACAGGGACGTCTGACAGATCAGAAGCTCTATGAGGATGAATACTCTTTGACAAGCAACTCATCGTTCAGATCTGTGCTATGTGTCTGACTTGAGTGGATCAAGTTTAGTTGGTAGGCCTGACTATGTTTTGTGAATCAATTAAATTAAGAGGGAAGAACGAGAACCAGACTGGATGTAAGATGCTGGAGTACAGATTTTTGTCTGGATGTTGGGTTAGTATGTAATTCAGATCTAAAATTTTAACAAGCCTGCCAAGTATGCAGGAAGCCCGGAAAATTAAATACCCAATGTTTCAGATCACAACAGATTTTGTCCAGTAAACAGAGAAATCAAATGCAAAGGCAGCATAATATTCACCTCTGTGATAAAGTCTTCTGAACATAACAATGTAAAGAATTATATCGTATGTTTTGCAGCTAGAGTATTAACTATATTTTAAGTGTCTTTCTGTGTGTAGTACCATGTTAGATAACTGGGATTGTGGGAAGTTTTGGCAGCACCCAGGTTACTCTCTGAAAAGCAAATAAGAATTGTATGGTTTGAGTACATACAGAGTTTATATTGGCTTACATTTTTCTAATGTGCTTGTATATTACTTTTCATCAGGAAAGAATCATGGCAGTTTACCAAAATTAAACAACTAGGTAAAATATGAAATAGTAATCAACAGGAAGCAAATTAAATAAAGCCATATTTAAAATGTCTGAGAGAATAGAAATGGTATTAGCTTGGCATTTAAAAGTTAACACTTTTGATGCCAGGCAGGCTTTCTTGAAGGTTCCCAAGTTGGAGTGGCACTGCTAAAAAGACCCTCTTTCTAGAGAAATATAACCCATATCTTAGATGGATGGAAGAAGTAGTAGATGACTCTGTTTTGTTGGCAGGATGAGAACGGGAAGCAGTGCTCCATTCGGGGCCTTTTAAGGTAAGAACTAGCATACCACTCAAAATTCTGCTGATCTCCCTGTTTTCTGAGTTCTAAAAAGGTGGCTACACACTTCCAAGATTATTGTCATCATCATAAGAGCTGGAAACAATTTATTGCAGAAGAATGCTGTACTGAATAAAAGATTTTCTCTGACTGAATGTTTTGTCTATTTTATCACTCTGCATATTGGCCTTCGTGAGTCTTTGCTAGCGTCCTGTTTACACAATTGGGCAGTTTCTGTTGGTGGTCCCAAGTAGAGCAGACCCACTGAGATTTATTTAAGGGGAATTAACATTTAGCCATTGATTTCAGCGGGTTTACCCTCTAGTTGAGACTAGCAATAGGATGCTGTCTTTATGTCATAACGGATGCATAATTTTTGAAAAAAAACTTCACTTCCTTTCCTCTGCACTCCAACTGACCACTGATTTAATGACACGGAAAAACCTGCAGATATTGTCCTTAATTTCTTTGTGGTCGCATCAGCAGTCAGAAATCTTTTCAAGGAGAAAGGTGGGGCAAAAATATTTTAAAGAAATAAAATCCATTCTGTGATACCAGCTAGCTGTTTCTGAAAAGAAAGAGGAAAACCTTCCCCCACCTGTGGTTCATGAAGTGACTTCAAAAGGGAAAAGAAATGAGGAAACAGGTTACAGTTCATAGCTCTGGAAATGGCAGTTTTGGGGAGGATTAGATTTTGAAGAGATTTTCAAGTAAAGTTTCCAGGATTCTTTAACAGAGAGTCCCACTGATAATAAAACCAGGTTTGAAATCAGTTAAAATATTAGGAACATGAAGCCCCGTTACAGAGTCAGATCATCAGACTGTCTTCCCCAGTACTGTTTCCATGTCTCCACACCAAGTCTCCAAGGTTTCAGGCAAGATGCTTTTGCATCACTACATACATGGAGCTTGGGCAATTTGACTGTTTTCACAGGGCTGTTGTGAGAGTGATGTGGGCAGGATAACCCAATGAGCCATCTCAGTGTCTCATGGGTGGAAAAGCAGAATATAAGCGCAACAAAACTGCAGGCAAATAAATGCCATTGTTCTTTTAAAAGCCCATTACAAATATAATTGTCACTCTCATTTTCTCACCCCTTTGCTATGTCTTCTGTGTGCATAAACCTGTGACCTAACTACATTATTACACTCCAATGTAAACAAATCTCTTAGTTGTTAAAGAGCCACAACTTCATTTTTTAAAATAAATATAAGTAATTACAGATTAGGAGTTGGTGAGTGTACAGAAGCTCAACTTACTACAATACTGGCTTGATTCCTCACAGGCTGGATTTGGTTTAAATCAAATTGATTTTGGCCAGTAAGCATTTTATTTTACAAAAAGATTGAAATTTTAAAAATCCAATGTTTTTGATTTAAATTAAACAAAAAATAAGATGCTTACTGACTAGTGATTTAAATCGTGATTGAAATAATTTTGATTTAAATCAAATCCACCCCAATTCCCCATTGTGCCTCTGCATTAGCCTTGGGAAAGCTGCACAGATCCAGAAGAAGGGACTGGTAAAGCACTTCTGAGTACACTATACCTAGAAAACCCTAAAAAGGGTTGCCATAAGTTCGATGGCACATCATTATTATTAAATGTGCATCAGACTGCAGTCTTAACTGTGATTCTACTGTGATGTCGCAAAGAGATACCAGAATGAAAAGGGTTGCCATAAGTTCGATGGCACATCATCATTATTAAATGTGCATCAGACTGCAGCCTTAACTGATTCTACTGTGAAGTTGCAAAGAGATACCAGAATGGGAAAAAAACCCACTTCTGGCTGGAAGCAGAATTTGGAAGGTTACCTTTCTGGACTACCGCTCCCACAATCCCCAGTCAGCAGAATTTTGGGAACCGTAACCCTTTAAAAAAGCACTTTTTTTGGTGCGGTGTGAGGCATTCAAAGGTAACTTCTGGCACCGGGAGCCGGTCCTCCACGAGGCAGGGCGGCAGCACTCGAGACAAGCGAAGAGGAAGCGGGATGACCTGAAGAGCACCAACCAGCGAGAGGGAAAAGCACAGACTGTTCACCCTTTTGGGCTTAGCTGGGCAGCGACTTCCTGGTTCCGGTTAGCCGCGGCAACAACAGCCGTTGCTGCAGGACTTGGAAGAGGGAGAGAAGCCAAAGAAGGAGAGGACAGAGCCAGTCTCTCAGCTGCGCGCAGGTAGGAGGGGAAAATGTAATAAAATAAAAAATACAGGAACTTCTCTCCCTGCCTTATCCTACACTTGCTGCGCGGGGTGCAAGCGCGCACCTCCTCTGCTGTCTGTGCACCTGGTAGGAAGCAAAAGGAAGGGTTGGCTTGGACTTTGCCCCGCTGGTTGGGCGGGTGAGGAGTGGAAAGAGAAGCTGTCATCTTCTATTTTTAATAGGGCAAATGTTGCAAAGAGAAGAGAGGTTGAGGAGGGAAGGAGTGGGAGAAGGAAGGAAGGAAAGGGGAGGTGAAATTTGCCTCCAGATTGCAGGGATGCCTGTGCAATAGGAAGTGATAGATTTTGCTATGAATCTAAGGAAAAGGCAAGTTGGCTTTATTTGATCTGAGCAGAAACAGATGAATATTAGGAATACGGCCTGTGGGATGCATCGTTGTGGGGATTCTGGGATAGAGAAACGATACAATGTTTGGGAGGCACCCAGCCCAATGCATAAACATAAGGGAAAATAGGGTTTAGGGGACTGTAGGTAGATGCGCTCTTCCAGGGGAGTTTATCCACGTTAAAAGATATTCTGGAGATGTATTGGAAAGGGAATTAACTGACTCGCAAAAGAGAGAAATGGAAATGATCAAATTGTGTATTTCGACCAAATATACATTGATAGGGAATCCAAAGATTTTGAAAATTTTCATATCTTCAAACGGAGCTGAAATGTCATCAGAAGGGTTTCGTCCAACTGCTAAGATACAGGAGAGCTTGAAGTTTTGAACTAAAGGTGGGTTGACTGGGGCACTTTACTGTGTTATACCAAAGGCAGATCAGGGATAGGAGATAATATTGCTGGGAGCATAGAGTGATGGGAGGATCACTTGCATTTTGTGCTACAGAATATGTACAGGGTGGATGGTACTGTAACACAGAGAAGAATATAGAGGAGAAAGGGAAGGGTTAGTGAGACTGTTTGCGTGATTTTTGTTGTTGTTTAGTCGTTAAGTTGTGTCCGACTCTTTGTGACCCCATGGACCAGAGCACGCCAGGCCCTCCTGTCTTCCACTGCCTCCCAGAGTTGGGTCAAATTCATGTTGGTAGCTTCGATGACACTGTCCAACCATCTCATCCTCTGTTGTCCCCTTCTCCTCGTGTCTTCACACTTTCCCAACATCAGGGTCTTTTCCAGGGAGTCTTCTCTTCCCATAAGATGGCCAAAGTATTGGAGCCTCAGCTTCAGGATCTGTCCTTCCAGTGAGCACTCAGGGTTGATTTCCTTCAAAATGGATAGGTTTGTTCTCCTTGCAGTCCAGGGGACTCTCAAGAGTCTCCACCAGCACCACAATTCAAAAGCATCAATTCTTCGGCAGTCAGCTTTCTTTATGGTCCAGCTCTCACTTCCATACATCACTACAGGAAAAACCATAGCCTTGACTATGCAGACTTTTGTTGGCAAGGTGATGTCTCTGCTTTTTAAGATGCTGTCGAGGTTTGGCATCGCTTTCCTCCCAAGAAGCAGGTGTCTTTTAATTTCATGGCTGCTGTCACCATCTGCAGTGATCCTGGAGCCCAAGAAAGTAAAATCTGTTACTGCCTCCATATCTTCCCATTCTATTTGCCAGGAGGTGATAGGACCAGTGGCCATGATCTTTGTTTGTTTGTTTGTTTGTTTGTTTGTTTTTGATGTTCAGCTTCTCCTCTTTCACCTTCATTCAGAAGTTATTTAATTTCTCCTCACTTTCTGCCATCAGAGTGGCATCATCTCCATATCTAAGGTTGTTGATATTTCTTCCAGCAATCTTAATTCAGCCTTTCACATGATGTATTATGCATATAAGTTAAATAAGCATGGGGACAGTATACAGCCTTGTCGTACTCCTTTCCCAATTTTGAACCAATCAGTTGTTCCATATCCGTTTCTAACTGTTGCTTCCTGTCCCACATACAGGTTTCTCAGGAGATAGACAAGGTGGTCAGGCACTCCCATTTCTTTAAGGACTTGCCATAGTTTGCTGTGGTCCACACAGTCAAAGGCTTTTGCATAGTCAATGAAGCAGAAGTAGATGTTTTTCTGGAACTCTCTGGCTTTCTCTATAATCCAGCGCATGTTAGCAATTTGGTCTCTAGTTCCTCTGCCCCTTCGGAATCCAGCT